ACTTGAGGACGAGGCTCAATCAAATAAACTAAGAAATATATGACATATGTTTGGTCTGTGAAACCATTTTATTTGCCGATAAATTCCTTTATTTAACATGAAGAATTAAATAGGTTTATTTTAAGTCTGGGTTCTTTTAAGCCCCCTATAAGGGCAAGCCCATATAGTTAATTACATCTTAAATGACTGAAGTCATCTAAGAAAACTCTCGATAAACATCAGAAAATATTATCTTCAGAGAGTTTCAAAGGGTAGGACTTTTCAATGAGATTGGACGTAGAGGTGTGAAAGGGGATTGATCCAAATTTGGAACATTTTGTTGTAGAGTCCAAAGGAGGAAGAATTAGGGGATGACATGGATCCAGAGGAGAACCTCAGTGACTTCCCAAGCTATCCTAATGTTTGGCTTCAGTCTTGAGGAGAAATATTTAGGTGTTTTATCCTATCAATTTTATTTGTCAGGGTTTACATTCATGTGAAACGATCACACAAATAACCTGGAAGATGTGAGGGTTTAGGTCGTGACGAACGAAAACCTCAGAATCTTAAGACGAGTTAGGGCTTATATTGTATAACAGGGCTATACAAAGGCCTAAAGATAAGGTGAGGAATTATGTTGCATAAGCAAGCAAACTTGAAGTCCTATGACTTTAAAGCAGGGAAAGACAGGTTTTGTTGTTGAAGATGGCCATGCTGCCCACCATGCTAGCTCCAAGCTCATCGTATTAGCGAGTTTAAGTTTTCTAGTGTGTCAGATTATAATGTCAAATTAGGTGGCCTTATGGTTATAGTTCTTTAAAAATTTATGGGGGTATGTTAAAGTTGATTACAATGATATAGGTTAGGATCCTATGGTTCCATCGTTCCGGTATCACTATTTTCTATTGGATTCACTTAGTCCAAATAAATTTCATTCCGGTATCACTATTTTCTATTGGATTCACTTAGTCCAAATAAATTTCATTCCGGTATCACTATTTTCTATTGGATTCACTTAGTCCAAATAAATTTACTAAACTCAACTTAATGAGTTCCATACTTTCATTTAGACCGTGGGAAACCTCGTTAGCAACTGTAAGTTACCTCCTCCGAGGAATTCTCGATGATCCGATAGAGACGTCTTAATTTAGTTGCAATTGTGGTTTTGTGATGTTTGTGATTAAATTTTGAGTTGTCTTATATTTTGAATGTTGTAGAGGTGATTTTTATCTTGGTTGATTTCAGTTTTGGTTTTGGTTTTACGGCTATCCTAGCAGTTTTGGTTTTCATGCAAGGTGACATCGTTGTTTAACATGCAAGTTTTGTAAGCATAAAAGTACAGTGTGAAAAGTATAGAAAAAGATGGTAATGTAAACTGTAAAAGCGTACCTGACAAGTCTTCTCGTTCCACTGCCTGAAACTCAAAATGCATGTAAGGGCATTTTATGTAAAGTAGAAAAAAATAAGGTTCCTAGATTATTTCTTGGTGAGTCCTTATTGGTTCAATTAAGGATGGTTTTATTAAGAAAAACATATCAAGTTTAGTAGACCTCTGAGGTATCCAATAGGTCAGGAGAAAAAGGCAGGTTCATGCTTTCCCCTCACCGCCTGGTGAAAAGTCTTGAGCTCATTTAAACTTATTATGTTGCTTAATAATCCATCCTGTAAACATTTCTAGTGTTCAATGAACAGTGATGTTTCAATTATCCCTAAGAGTAGGGTGATTATCATTTATCCTTCAATTCGAGAATTATACAGGTGAAGACCCTTAAAGGGACAAGTCAGTGTTATTAAGACACTTAGCCAATATTGGTTTTAACTTGGGCTTGTAGTGTTCAACTTCTATTTACATTCACTTTTCTAATCCTCATTTAATCAAATTTGATTTAGCTTAGGTCACTACTAAGCCCTTAAGATCCTGGTAGCTGGCTTAGTCATTTTGAAAGAGATTAAATTTTAAGTGATAATAATTCATCATCAAAACATTTGAATGTCACTTGAACACCAGATAGGGGGTATTAAATTAGTGAGTTATTAACACCCAAAAATATACCCCTAAGTCTAGGATCATTCAATTTGGTAGACTTCCAAATTTTGATAACTTAGGAAATTTTAAATTTATCCTTTAATTGGAAAAAGTGAAATTAGTTTCTACCAATTAATCTCTTGTGTTTCAATCATCCAAACATGTTTATTAGTTGCCCATTTCCCTTTCTTGAATTAAGCCTAAATGTTAATTAAGGCTAAATTTCTAAAATTACACTTTTGCCCCTAATGCTCTATCACTTCATAATTCATCAAATTTAATTCAAACGAATTTGGAATTTTCATGCCACCTTAATCATGAGTCAATTAAGACATCAGAGGAGAAAAATATGATTTTTCAAATTTTAATTTAATTTATATATTTATTTATATGCAAGAATGAGATTTTTTAAAGAAAATTCCTAACTTGACCAAGATAAAACCTAATCCCTTGAATTTTTTTTAAAGGTATTGAAATTTTTACTAGAGGTAGAATTTGATCATAGAAACACTTGGGCCAAATTTCATAATTTTTTGAATTTGATTTGAATTATTAAAATTATTTTAATTTCTGGAGTATTAATTAATTATAAAATATTTTAAATGTAGAAAACTAAGTTTTACATTTTTATTAAATCTCTCTAAGGTCAAGGAGCCTAGAGAAAAAAATTTCACATTTTTTTGATATTTCTTTGAATTATTAGAATTTTTTAATTGAATGATTAAGAAAAATTTATTTTTAGCCTTTAAAAATTAATTTAAGCTTTAAAATTCAATATCTTCACTTTGAAAATTAGGAAAAATATTCCAATTGTTCCTAAGTGCTTCCAATTGTTCAATTAGGAAAAATATTCCAATTGTTCCTAAGTGCTTAGAAAATAATTTAGAACATCCATAAATTTTATCAATTTTGTGAGTTTTATTAATTTTTAATTATTTAAATATTAAAATAGGCTTAAAAAATGAAGTTTTCATTTTATTTACAATTTTATTTTTATAAAATTTCTCTAATCATAGAGAAATCCCAAAACCAATTCTTATGATTTTTTAGTTATATTTTAATTATTAAAAATAATTTTAGTGTCAAAAATGTCATTTAACTTAGAAAATCAAGTTAAGTTATCAAATGAGCTTTAAATATTTTGAAACTTTTATGGGGAGTTCTTTGAACTTTAAATCACAGTAGAGATTAAAAATCAAGTCATTTAGATATTTATTTTTCCCAAATTATTTTTTTTTGTGTTTTAGGGTTTTGCAAGATTTAAGTGTGTTCTTAATGACTTAACTCGTGAAATACTTTTCAAAGAGTTCTCTGGTCACAAAAAACCTTTCAAATTTTTTTAGATTTTTCTAAGCAACATGCTAATTATTATGATTAATTTATGCAAATAATAGACACAAACATGAAAAATATGGATCTCTATCTAGAGGCCTTCTCTAACTTTAGAAAAATCAGAGAATATCCCCTAAGGCAGAGGCAACAACATTCTAAAATATCAAGCCATGGTGAAATGTCTACATGCATGGAGAGTTTAAGGACTCAAATCAGTATTTAATTATTTAAAAATAAAATATACATCAAATAAACTTCAAAACCATTTCCACATTGTTCTCCTCTGTTCACTGAGCACTATGATATTTTTATTTTATTTTTGTGATTTTTCTACACCAAGATATAAATTTTAAAGGTAGGGCGCATTTTCTGAATTATTTAAATCCCTATTTTTCTATTTAAACATGTGGTGCCACACAATCATACGACGACTCCGAAAACATGTGTGGCACGCTCTGGTTGGATGTTGCCTTCCACGTAGCTGTTGACTCAACCCGTGCTTTATGAACCACGCTCCCATCTGGCGCAATCAGAGCCCTCCATTTGATACACGTGCGATCGGCTTCGCGTCATCATCCCCAAATAGAGTGAACCTGTGACTGTAAACGTTAAAACCCTAAGATCTCACTCATTTCTCAACCAAATGACCTTGGGTTTGATCCTATGGACTCGTCTAAGTGTGACGAACACATCCATACGGTAAACATCCCATTAAAACCCTAATTAAATGGAGAATCAAAATAGGCTCAGGAAGAGGGGAAGTTCAATACATTTGCTCTGAGAAGGGAAGCTTCAATCAGAGGTGCTTGCCACTTTCGTAGAGGTTCAAGGAGTCTAGGGATCGAGTCTCTGGTCATGGTGAAAGGTCTAGACCCAAATTCAATTAAGGCTGAATTTGGGTGTTGATTAAAGTCTAGTGTAGAGGCTCTCTGTGAGGGGGGTTTGATGGGGCTTTGTCTTCTTTTTCTGTGGTGAAGGTGTGGGTGATTTTAATTTGATTTTTGTGCACTCTGGAGGTGTGGAGAGTTTTGTCCTGTCTTCGCTAAGGATTTGAGCTCAAAAATTGAACTCCAGCAAGGGGAATTAGGGCAAGGAAGTGGTTGGGTTGCACTGAGGAGGTCTCAAAGAGGCTATGGGAGCAATTTAGAGGGGTCTTACTGAGAAAATTTCAGTATCTCTCTCTTGGCCGTGATGGTGAGGGTTTATAGCCATGGCCGGAGAGGGGAGCTCAGGGCCTTGGCATGGGTGTAAAATGGTGCTTAAGTGGAGGGCTGAGGGGCTCTAAGGTTTGATTTTGGTGATCTGGCCCCTAGGGTTAAGATTGGGTTTGATTCAAGGTGGTGGCTGGTGGCTCTTGGTTTGGCCATTTTCCGGCCACCAAGGTGGCTGGCCGGCCAAGGGGAGGTGGCTAGGTGCTCAGGGCATCCAGAGGAATCCATCACAACAATTTAATGCAAATGTGTTTTGATTTGGCAAGGATATCTAGAGATTTTAGAGATTTTGTGGTTAAGGCCTAAAAAAGGGAATGAATCCCTTAATTTGGGGATACATTGGTCCATAGCATGCTTTGCTGGATTTGGGGTGGTTTATCCTGGTCCTTAAGAGGAGCTTAGTGGCTGTGGAGTCACAAATTTGGTGACTTTAGGGTGGTTAGGCCAATTTTAGTGTATAGGTCAATTTGGGTCCAAATGGCTAAAAGTTGGGTTTGGGTTAGGATAGCCATGACTTTGAACCCAAATCATTGAATCATTGATCAACATTGTGTAGATGATTGTAATGAATATTTTTGGTGAAGGATTGAAATGATTTTGAGTTCGATTGGGGGTTCAATTTGAAAGATTTTGGAAATTTTGTCACTTTGAGCATGTTGGGCTAGACTTGGGTCTAGATTGGGCTACGCTTGGGTTAAGTCCAAATTTATTATTGAAAATAGTCAATAAGAATGTCATGAAGAGTTTTCAACATAAATTAGGTGCTAGTTTTGGGGTTAGGGCATTCAATTTGGTGAAAGTTGTAGACATAGGGCAAATTTGGGATTTTTTTTGGACTTAGGTCATAATTAAATGAAATTGAGGCTTCACCAAGGACAATTGAAGGTCAAGTTTGATTTTTAGGATTGTTATGAAGAGTTTAGGATTCACATTGAGGCCAATTGAGTAGGCTATAGGCTTCAATTAGGTGGAACCAAGTCATAGGGCAATAGTTGTGGTTTTGTCTTAGATCAAAATTAAGCTCAAATAATGGGCCAATTGAGCTTGTATTTGGTTTACATTGGTCATATGTAAATTCAATTTGAGTTTAGGAATGAAATTGGGGGAAATTGGGACCAAATTGATCAACATTTGAGGTAAATTTGGGGAAATTGGGCCTTTAAAGGCAAGTTGGGGGTTTTGGCCAAAATGATCAAATTGGTAAAATTGGGTCCAATTGAGGGGTCAAATTTGGTTTTGGAAACATTTGGAGTGATTTTGGAGGTTTTGGGAATGTTTGGGGCGCCAAGGGTATTTTTGTAATTTTGGCAATTTTGGGGGGTATTTTGGTAAATTTGGAATTTTGGGTAGTTTTGGGTAATTTGGGTATTTTCAAAAGGTTTGAAATAATTTTTGAACAAATTTGGGTATTTTGGATGAATTTGAGGATTTTAACCAAATTTGGGATCTCGGGGTTTTTAGGTAATTTGGGTAGGTTTGGGGGTGAAAGGTCAAATTGGGTTTTTTGGGTAGAATTGGGGAGATAACCACCAAATATGAGCTATGGACCAATGGAAACCCCATTTGGGTCCTCTATGTACTGGTCTTAGCTAAACCCTAGCTTAGGGCTAGTGGATTTAGGGGACGACCATCTACATGAGACCATCTACATGAGTCTCCCAAAGGATCAAGGGATCAAAGTTAAGAAAATTTGGGTTTAAGGTTGTGAGGGATTGTGAGTGAGAGTGAGTGCAAGTGAGTGAGAGTGAGTGCATTAGCCCTATACTAACACCCAGAGTCAACCCTAAGGGCAAACAATCTTATGAGAACTCATCTTGAGCTCTCCCTTATTGACCCTACTTACTAAATGCTAGAGGTTAGGACCAATATGTGAAACTTCAAGTTGAGCAAGGAAGAGTTTAGATTTTCTAATGGTGAGGATTCCTTTTATATTTTTCTAAGAATAGTCAGCAAGAAAGTCATATAGCTAGACCTTAGGCTACTAAAGAAGAAAAACTAAACCTCAACCAAAAGGGAGGTCAACAGTGGTATTAGGGGTTTTGGGAGAAGATATTGAAGGGGTGGTATTATGTGTCTTTGTTTAAAATATTTATGTGGTTATATTGGTATTATGATGGTATTGGGTGGTATTCATGTAATGTTTGGTTGGTGCAATGTTGTTGATGTTCATGTTGTATTGGGTGGAATTGTGGTGGCATTGGTTTGCTCTTGATATGATCTTGGGGTGATGTAGAGTTTTTTTAATACAAATGCTACCAAATCTTTCACTCCTATGATATAAAGAGAAAAGACTATGATGTTTGTAGGCATTTACTATTTAAAGAGTGGTGGTGTTGTGGTAATGGAGTGAAATTATTTTGAGAAAGAAATTAAAGCTTGTAATATCAACATAGCATTGATTTAAACAACAAATGACCAAGAGCAAAAAATAAAATAGTGTAATGATTTCAATAACAGATAAACTCAATTCCATTTTATTCTTTTCATCATTTTGAGAACCCTCCAACTTCAAAATTAGTTTGTTGTGGATTTATTGTAGCTCTTATCTCTTAAATATGTTGTTGCAAGTCCTAATGAAAACCCTAAAACGTCAAGAAGTTGATTGCAAAAAAATAAACAAGAAGGAAATGGGAAACCCTAAAGTGAGAAATGGCAATGAGGGCTCGACGTGGGTTTTTGAATAAGCGGCTTCGACTTTTGTTTTCTTGTAATATGTAGGGCAGTTTGGTCCTGATTTTGTTCCAAAGTTTAGCTTTTTCGTAATTTTTTTTAATAAAAGGGATGGGTCCATTGCTTGATGAGTGTTGCCTCCTTATTGAAGTCTAGATGCAAAATTGAGTCCAGACTCCACAATCGATGTTTTATCATGTAACAACCACTTAGGAGCAAAGCTGTGCAAATATGGCGAAACTTGAATATTTTCTAATTTTTTTTTTCATTTCATTATATTAAATTAAATTTAAAACTTTGGGCTTTCCAAAATTTTGCCCACTAATTTTAACTTTTAAATTAGCATGATATATTCATTTATGCTATGTAACATTTGGTAAATCTCAAATGCTAATGGGTGACTAACATCACTTACCAAAAACCTATGCACCTTGCCTTCAACCTCCAACAAGCTACAAGCACTCGCCTTCCTCACTCCTCTCACCACCATCTGCTCTCTCACTCTTCCCACTTCCTCCCATCTGCAAGCACCAGCATAAACATTAGACAGCCCAACAAAGAATCCACCACCAAACTCCTCATCCCCTTCCTTCTCAATCCCAAATCCTAACCCTATAAACCTTCTCTCCAACCTCTCCCCGTAAGCCAACTCCCCGCGAACCAAACAAGCATGAAGCAAAGCTCCCCACACAATCCGATTAGGTTCAAACGGCATTGATTCTATTATCCTCTCAGCCTCCTCCAACCTCCCGGCCCTGCCAAGCATGTCGACCATTGCCCCGTAATGTTCCATCCTGGGTTCAATGCCGTACACTGACTTCATCTCATTGAAGAGTCTTATACCCGCTTGAACGAGACCAGAGTGGCTGCAAGCATGGAGGACGGCAGTGAATGTGACAACATCGGGCTGGAGATGGCGCTCCTTGTCTTCCACCATCCTGTGGAACAAAGCAATCGCTTTCTCCCCGCATCCATGCATCGCTAAACCACCAATTATCGCCGTCCATGTCGAAGAGTCTGTAGTTGGAATTCCATTGAACACCTTGAGCGCACGATTAAGGCTGCCGCATCGAGCATACATGTTAATTAATGCCGTGGCAACTACGTCAGCAGAGAAATTTGTGAGGAACCGGATGGAAAGGGAATGAAGAGCCTTCCCTTGGGTCAGCAAGCCAAGGCCAGCGCAACAGGAGAGAGCAACAATGAGAATATCGGCATTTGGTCGAACACCTGCCGAAATCATCTGGGTGAAAAGAACCAGCCCATCCTGCTGCTGCTGCTGCGGCAACCTCGCGCAGCAAGAGATAATGGCGCTCCAAGTCACCTCCGTTCTAAGAGGCATCTCGTCAAACACCTGGCGAGCAAACTCAAAAAGCCCGGAGGAAGCATAGGCGTGGAGGAGTGATGTGGCAACGTGGGTATCCCCGTCGAGACCATGGTGGAGTGTAATGGCGTGGATGAAGGAAGGGGGAGAGAGGGAGCGAGCAGAGGCGCGGAGGAGGAATGGGAAGGTAAAGTGGTCGGGGTAAAGACCTGAGTGCAGCATGCGAGAGAAAATGATGAGGGATTTGGAGGGAGTAGGTCCAGCAGAGTGGGCTCGGATCATTGAAGTGAAGGAGAAGGCGGAGCGGTGGGGTGAGGCGTCGAAGGCGAGCTGAGCGAGGGAGAGATCGGAGGGGGCGAAGGCGGCGACGATGCGAGCGGAGACGAAGGGTTCAGCAAAGAGGGTGGAGATTATGGCGCGAGCGAGGATTTGTTTGAGAGCTTGCGGGGATGAGGACGCCGAGAGGGCGCAGAGGAGACGGCTGCGCTCTTGAGGGAGGGCGAGAGGAGGGCTTGCCATGAAAATTGGTGGTGTGGTCTACCCGAGTGGAGGATGACATCTTTTGAGATATACAGCCTAGTTTCTCAAATCATAAAATTAAAAACCTTTTCAATTATTTTAGATAATCTCAAAAAAATATGTTCTAACCCTGGACATTGAAAATGTGCCAGCATTAATGTCATTAAGATCAAACGGTTCAAAAAAGGACAATATAACCCACACATAGGAGAACAAAAGTCCTACTTATCCAACCAAATGCAGCTACTTGAGTCAAAGCTAAAGACCAACTTGATGTAGTGGTCCAAGCCAAAGCTGAAGGCCAACTGAGCTAGAAGAAAAACAAAAAGACGGTCGATTGATCAGAATTTGAACCAATTAGACTAAAAAAAAGCACATAAGTATCCGAGCTATCCACTATAAGAAAGCTGGCTGAAGATAACAACCTACCTTCTTATACATCCGACCCGAAGATAGACCCAATTCTTCAATATCATCAATCATCCCATGAACGCTCATGAAGCTCCTCGACGGGGATTAAAAATTGATAAAACAACAGTCATATAGTCATCCCACATGCTCTTCTCGTTCAAGAACGAGTTACGTATCAAGTTACAACGATTTACCCTTTGCTCGATAGTCTTGTCTAACTTTACCAATAGGAACTCCTCATCCATGAATCAAGGATCGAGTGCTAGACTAGATCAACCAGTATACAAAGCCTAGTTGATCGAATCAGTCCTACCGACTTGAAGCTAATCATGCTCAGCTGACCGATAAGCCGACTTAGGCTCTGTTTGGCGCAGTTGCAGCTGTGCTGCCCCAGGAAGCTGCTGTGGGGAAGCTGGTTGGTTGCTTGTTGCAGCTGTGTGAAAACAGCTATGAGTAGCTATTTCTGAAAAAAAGACAATTCTGCCCCTGTTTAGTTAAACTGTTTGGAACAGAACAATAACAATCTTATATATGATACAACTGAAACAGAAATTCACTTTACAAGCTAAAAATGTAAAAAATAGACTTCTACAATTTTTAGCCAATCCCAGAAGCTATGAATTTGATACTTTTGATAAAAAAGTTCAAATAAAAACAATCCATAATTAGAGATATTTAACTCACGTCACAGTGACTATCAAAATAATTATGTGTCATGTATGTAAATGCCCAATACAAGAGAATAAACAAATTCAAATTTGAAAAATATGTTTTCAATTCCTGCAACAACATCAAATAAAAACTTTTTTCCTGTTTACTTGTAATCCCGTACTATTAAGCAAAGAAAGAAACAATCATATGCTGCTACACCTGCTCCATCAAACCAATCCTCCAATACTTGTATCCCTTACTATTATGCACCTCAAACGATGGAAACACATGAACCTTTTCATTCCAATGGAATTTACAATCAAGCACCCGTTCAGACTAATGTACTCTAGATTGGACATCAAATCTGCATTGTATATCCATTTTGCAGAGCTTACACCCTTCTATGAAAATTTGCATACATACCACTCAACAAAAGAGAGGAATGAAGAATCTTTTACACACATACCACACAATTCCTTTGTGCTTGCATATCTAACACCTAAACTTTAATAACTGCAAGGAAAGCAATGAAATAATTTGCACATATTCCAAATGCTTTCAAATTTGCATATATTTGCATTTGCATATATTCCAAATGCTCTTTTAAGTTATGCTACAGTGAAAATTAAAGCATATAGTCCACATCTGCATTTCTCGGTGAGCTTACAAAATGATTCTCCAGTACAAATTATTTGCACATATTCAAAAAGCTTTCAATTTACAAAAGAGTGTATAACTCTGTAGCTATAGAGAAAGAGAGAGTCAGAGAGGGAGAGAGCGAGAGAGGGAGAAAGTTGCTTTATGCACAACCATTACAAGATGATAAGCTACAACAAACTCTATGCCTGTTATGAAACTTTCATTTAAAATGTCATTAACATAACTATGATAATTGCTTATAATAGAAGAGTGACACCTCTAGAGAACTTACAAAGCACATCACATTGACTATACTTTATGGATAACCTCATTATCAATAAAAACATAAAAAAACTCAGTGGGATTTGGATACACCTTATAACAACAAAACAAAAGAGAAATGCATCACCATGATGTTTAACAATATATATTGTACATATATACCACCTAAAATGCATTTGCATAGGTTTAAGAAAATTTCAATTGAGCATCTCTTTATGCATATTAAATTTACGCAAAACTTCTCAACATATATTAGTAAAGTAATACCAAAATTAGATATCAATCAAACTCATACAAACAATAACAATATCTTCATAAAACAACAGAGCTTACCTGTAAAATTCCCAGAAACAAATGCACGTGATGCAATATCCCGACTGTTTATATGCAACTGTATAATAATGTATGTGATAATATTTTCACTTATATTTCCTTACTTTACAACAATACTAAAAACTTGATTATGAAGAAAATAAGAATTTAACTCTTTAATATATATATATATATATATAATAGGACTTTTTGATTAAGCCCTGGATATCGATCCTACGGGGAAATTGGCAATATGCACTTTCAAACAACAAAATTCTATTTCAAAAAAACAATTACTTAAACTATAGATAATTTGATAGTAATTAAAATTCAAATGTTTTTAGTATTTTTGATATTTTGACAAAACAGTAACAACTTCTAAATAACTTGAGTTTATATAAAAGAAAAACACAAAATATGAAAATATTTTTCTCCTTTTCATGAATCAGTAATAAGTATAGGAATTATGTTGTGGAAGTATGTAAATGCTATAAAGAACATTAGCTAATTTAAAGTTTGAATAGTTCTGAAAACCGGCTAGGCAGAGAAGACACTAGCTCTCACTCTAGAGTTCTCTCGATTCCCTCAACCTGAGGGCTAACATCTGTATCAGAACCTAAGACAATAAACCAAGTTGGAGGCTTTAACCTGTCACATTAGAGTCCTCTAACTCTACACCCTTCAAAGTTTATTTTCCTATTTATTTGCACTAAATCATATGAATTATATTCTCATTCATACAACCTCATGTGATTCTTTCCAATTGTTGACTGAGACAATACCAGCTCGGTTCTTACATGTTCTCACAATAAATTTTAACATCTGGATATGCCAAATCAAAAAGTAAATGGAGTGCATAAAATTAAATCATCACAACTTCTTCCAACATTAAAGATTAATACTCTCCACAACTTCCATCTAACACATTAATTACTTATCATATGAAGGAGAAAGATAAAGAAAATTACTCAGAATCTATGGAAAAAATAAAAACACATTTTAGTTTAAAAGTAGAAATCATTGTCAAACCAACAAGAAGTCTCGATTAAAACCAAAAGTAGTTTAAAAACAAAGATAAAAACTTATCTCAAATTCTCCCCTAAACTCTTGAAGTTCCTTTGAATCTCTTCTCTTTTACAACACTCTTGACTCTTACAATAAAACTAAAAATTAAAAAGAATAAAGTAAAATTTGTGGTGTTTGAATCTCTCCACAAGATTCTCTACAATCTTTTCAAGACTTAGCACTCTCTCCCTCTTCAAGCACCCAGCTCAAATGTCTCAACCTCCTTTTATAAATTTCTCAAGAGGTGCCTTGGAAATTCTTCAAAATGTGTCCAAATTCGATGTATTCTCCAAAGGATACCTCCTTTCACAAGTCTTTTAATAATATTTTCGTTCCTAGTAGTTATAATCACCATCTTTAGCCAATAGGCACCTCAAATGTCTCTTCAAAATTTGGCCAAATGAAGAAAACCGTCAAATAACTGCCTTTGACACTTAATCGCGGGGCCTCTGGCGCTTAGGCGCGGTCTTCTCTGTTTCACTGGCGCTTAGGCGCACTGGCGCTTAGGCGCCAAAACA